CTAATCCTTATTAAAGCTACAAAACTTCTTTAGTCAAGAGCAGTGAGAAATTTTCTGTTCCCTTTGTTATTTGATTAACTTCTTTACCGACTGAACGCTTTATTCGCTGCCGGCCCTTTAAGAGCAGCCGTTGCCGAGACGCGGATCTCTCACGCGCCTCTTTCTCTCACAACAAGCACAACTCTTTCGTCCATCATAAGACTGCTCTTATGTTATGAAGATAATCGACAAAACGACATTTTGGCATAATTGTGTGTGTGTTATTGTTCGTTCAAGCTCGAAAGAGAACTGTATTCTGGCACGCGGTCTGTGCATGCGCATTATACTGGCGTGCGTTTTTCTGAGTCACATTCAGGACATTCACAGGCAGCGCGCTCTCTTTTGACTTCTTGTCGTGCAAAATGGTTTAAGGCATTTGCACGAATAAGAGCGGGATCATGTAACACTAGTCAAAGGATGACAAAAAAGAAGAGATGCTGTGTTAATAGCCCTAATTTGTTTATTTCAAATAAAATCGCGGCATTTTGCGTTATATAATCGCATAGGTTTGACATCGCGATTACGATTGCGATACGATTAATCGTCCAGCACTAGTGAAAAGTGTTTGGTCTGTTCTCACTCAAAACAAATTCAATTGTTTTAGAAGACTGGTTAAACCATGTAGGCCATGAGACAGAGGGTTGATTGATACCATTTTGAGGGATTAAACCGCATGGTGATTTTTGTGTAGGTATATGACCCTGTATTTGAAAAGTATGTGATAGCATTAGATTCAAGGTAGTTTTTGGTTACGGAGGACGATTTTCAAACATATGTCAAGAAAAAGGATAAATGAATTTATCTTTAAATAAATTTTACATTTTATAACATTTTTTTATAAAATTTTATACATTTTTATAATAAAAAAATGATACTTTTTAAAAATAATTTTTAAAAATTATAAAAGGATACATTTTTCTCTCTTGTAGTCACTGAACACCTTACCTTGAGGTAGGATGATATAAGTGTTGATTTCTAATGAAAGCTACCATGGATCGGATGCTATCACACATTTTCCAACACTAGAGATGTGTACCTTCATGAAAATCAAAAAGAAATTTAATCCCTCAAAATTGTACCGGTAGGCCAAATTTGGGGTCCCGTCTCATGGCCTAATGTGACTTGTATGAATTACCTTTATATTCCATTTACTGTATGTATATTTTGGTGTTTGAAAGTTTGATTCCCACGTTCTCTTCTTTTGCATTGTAGGAACAAACAGTTCATCTCCATTTAAATATCATATTTTGCATCATAGGAGTTTAAATCTGCAAAAGGGGGAGTAAATTATGAGAAAATTGATAATTTTATGGCCTAAATTATTCCTATTCTGAACATGATAGGCCTATTGTTTATGTAGAATATAAACAAGTAGTGGATTCAGTTTTTTTAATGTGTTATTTATACTGTCAGTCTTCTTAAATAGTTTTCTTTACCAATAGATGTCTGCCACTCCTGCTGACCTTGAGACGATGGCTAACCAGCCTGTCACTCCTTGTTTGATCCTTGTTGGTAAGTATATCACATTAGATATGTCTGCATTTTGTTTCACTAAAATAAAGCTCACACTCCAGACTGACACATGACTTTCTATTATCAGGAGAGGATCCACCTTTATGTGCCTCATGCTAGAATCCACTGGCTATAATGACCTGTGCAGTTTATTCTAAGTCTTCAGTAAATTATCTTGTAGTTTTTTGGTAATCATTTTAGACATTTTAGGACATTTTTAGGACATTTTAGATAATCAAAATTATAAACTGCAAATAATTTTTCTCTTATTTTTCAGACAATCAATAAATCTGGAAAAGAGGGACCAAAGCTGCATGGAGAAAAGTTGCAGTTTAAACTAAAATAACTGGGAAGATTGTGCAGAAAAAGACTTAAAACCATCAATTTGTATTTTATAAACCATTTGTTTTTATATATAAAATGGGATGGTGTTCGAAGTCTGTTTATATATAAGAGTATATTTGTATTTTATACTCAGGTAAGGATTGTATTTATTGATTTATTTATGTATACATGTATGTTGTATGCATGCCTGTTTTAGGACATACTGTATCCACAAACATGATGCAAATTGTATCTGGTGTTGTATCAGAATAAATAAACAAAATTTTGTTCTCTTTTGTAATCCACAGTCAAACGCTGCCGTTTCTCTTTCTGTTAAACTGTAACGTGGTGGATCTGATCATTACATTTACATCCATGCATTTGGCAGATACGTTTATCCAGAGCAATTTATGGTGCATTCTGAATACATTTTCCCTGGGAATAACCTGCACTGCCATATGATGACTCAAACGTATTTGAACTGCTGCTACTGGTTCTCCAAATGTCTAACTTGTTGTTTTAGAATGGACTAACTCTTTGCTTTTGAGTCTGGATGGAGGAACAAAGTTTCGATAAGATATTTTAAAGGAGCATGCAAGCAGACACAAAGATTTGTTGAGCTGCAGCTTGTGCTGTCTCCAGTCTGTACTCTACAGGAGCTAGAGTTAGACTTCAAACAGCCAATCATAGACTTCAAAGCAGCGGCTGAAAAACAAAAACAAAACCATTAAAGCTGCTGTAGGTAACTTTTGTAAAAATATTTTTTACATATTTGTTAAAACTGTCATTATGTCCTGACAGTAGAATATGAGACAGATAGTCTGTGAAAAAATCAAGCTCCTCTGGCTCCTCCCAGTGGTCCTATTGCCATTTCCAGAAATACACGCTCCCGGTCAGAAACAACCAATCAAGAGCCAGGAGGAATGTCTTAGCAGTGTCAATCACGCTCGTGTACGCGCTGATCACACCCCTCTCTTGCACAGCCCGAGCCGTCGTTCAAACTCAAGATTGCCGGCGTGCTGCAGCTGTGCTTATGACGGAGAAACAACCTAAACTGCCAATAGGCTTTATGCACAGCTTCACTACTTCCTGAACTTCAGCCAGCCCTTTGTTTCCTGTCTGTCATTATTGGACAAACTGATTAATCCAAGTGTGCCTGATTATTGTTACTGAGGCCAGGCACACCTGGATTAATCAGTTTGTCCAATAATGACAGACAGGAAACAAAGGGCTGGCTGAAGTTCAGGAAGTAGTGAAGCTGTGCATAAAGCCAATTCTCGAGTGACACCTGCTCATAAAACAAAGAGGTAAAATGAAAAAGGCCGATGACGATAAACAAGCGAAAAAGAAAGAATTACACAGAGCCCATTGATTCGGTGTCAAAACTCTAGCCGCATAACATGTAGATAGAATGTCACGCACTCTGCTAAGCAACAATTGAAACCTGCTAATTCACTGGCTTGTCATGTTGCTGAAATAATGTACTAGCACACCTTATATAGCATTATATATCGCTAGAATAATTACTTACATACTGTAATGTAAGTTACCGTTATATTAACGTTATCTTACTAGCTATTTATAATTTATAGAAAGAGTGCAACGTTTTAAAGTTACATGTATTGCAAAATACATAATGATTTGAGGACCAAGTTTGTAGTCAAGTATTGGCAGGCCATAGTCAATGTAAAGCATATTGTTGACGTTTAGTCCCTATTAGTGAATGTGCCATATAACTTTTTATCCGCCGTTATCGGTGGCCCTGTTTACTAGCCTGCGTGTTCACGACAGGCTCCGCTGTGGAGGGAGGGCTGTAGCACAGCAGAGAGCAAGGGGGTGGGACCTGTAAGTTGTGCTTGTTAAAATTTTCAGGCTAACTCAACGTTTTCTCAAAACTCCCTACTGCAGCTTTAACATATTAATTATATTTAGAATTCATTGACAAGATCACATTAACAGGTATTATAACTAGAAATCAGTCTTAGCTGTCGTTTTCCCACATTTGCTCCTCTCTGCTCCATCTTCCTTTGGTTTTCTATATTGAGCAAAACAGATTGAGAAACTTCAGAAACAAATTCGTAAATTATAAAATCCACACAGAGCTTGATATTTATAAACTGTGCTGATAATGCCACAAAGGGATATTTGACCCAAAAATGAAAATTCTGTCATCATTTACTCACCCTCATGTCTCAAACTTCTGTGACTTTATTTTATTCTGTGGAACATATTTTTAAGAATGTTGGTAACAAACCTTTTTCATGACCAGTGACTTCCATTGTATTGAAAAATAAAAACAGAATCAAAATGTCTTTTTTGTGTTCCACAGAAGTGATGACAATTATCCCTTTAAGACCAACAAGAGGTTAGCTGAGCAATCACAACACCATTAGATGCACACATATAAAGGTCAGAAGAAACACTGACGATTTTCTCACACTCACACACCTTGATTTTATCACAAACACACCTCAGTTGCACCTTATGGTTCAGGTGCTGCAATGCATTGAAAGTGAAAATTAAAGTCTTTTTTTAGGCATTCAAGACGGGAAGTCTAATTAGAATTACAGTTACATAGAGAGGCAAAGGCAGAGAGAAAGAGAGAGAGGAGTGAAGACTGTGTTTTTCTAGGTGAGGGAAACAGAAAGACAGGTCACAGGTGTGTGTCTGTATATGAGAGAATGTGTATGGAAGACTGTCTTTGTCAGACAGACAGGAATATGTGTGTGAAAGGATCCTCTAAATGAAGAACCACATTTATACAGACAGAAACAGCACTTCCAATTCAACCTCAAGTTACATTGTTTTATTTTCCATGGGCAGAAAAAGACAGAACCCAGATTCTATGCAGCATTTATAAAGTATATGTTTATTTCATTCTGGAATGTATTAACTTCCACCGGCAAAAAAACAAATCTAATGAAGCGCAAACCTCATTCAGAACAAAAAAGAAAACACCAAAGAAAATAAACTTTTGTGTGCAGCGATGTGAGGGGACTGACGTGAATGTGCAGCCTGATGATAGCTGAATAATTCTCTCAGCAGAGCCAACAGTGGCACTGCTCAATCAGACAAACAAATACATGCACGCTCACATAGTTACATTCTATGATTGAGTAAGCACATCCACACATAAAGTCCTACCCGAGACACACAGAAGATAGTACGGCTCCGTGTTAAGGGTGTGAGTACATCTGGAACTGCTCAGAAGGGGCACTAACGTTCCTCACACTACAAAAGATTCACATAATGAAGACATGTAGGCTGTTGTTAAATTAGTAGCGCTGAAGAATTAGTCTCCTCTACTCATTTCCTCTCCTCTTATCCAACTGAATGAGGGATGGGGAGGAGTGATATCTATGCCATTATCCCCTTACTGTCTTCAGTCCCTTTCTGAATGTCCATCAAAGTGCTCCGCCTGTTTTTAGGCTTGGCCAATCACTGGCCAGCTCCAGATGGTCTGCTGGTTGTCTTATTAAAGAAGAGGAGTTCATTTTGCAATTGGCGTAGGGTATATATATGCTAATGAGAAGGCGAAAATGTCAAGATCATCCAGCCAATCACAAAGTAGAACAGGAACACTGGATACACGACCAGGGCTTTCCTATTGGCCGGTTGGCTGTCTGCAAGAAATGCTGTGGAGGCTGTGAATGAAACACATAGAGAGATACGGATTAAGATCTCACTGAAATCCCCTAAAGACTGTGTGTACAAGGAGAAGACAATGAGTTAAGTGATCTGACTTCTGTGTCTCCACTCTCCACAGTATTACTGGTACATCTAATCGTATTTTCTTCTTTATCACTACAGTAACTGGTTATTAATAGCACTTAATTGATGGTACATTTGTAATTCATTAATTTGTAATTTCTCTGTGCAAAAAAATGCTTGTAATTTAAAAAAATGTATTCTGCATTGCAGATATTTTACTTTTATTTCAATTACACACTATTATTTTATTTTGTTTGTCACAACCAGTGTTTTTATTGATAACTGAAACTAAATCATAATAAAGCTAAAAATATTGTCACACTGTGAAGCTATTTTTAAAAGTCTTAGTCTTAAAAGTCTAAAGTTTTAAAATGTCTTAGATTAAAAACTCTACACTACATATGGCATAAACATAGTAGTAAAATAACTATTAAAGTTATTTTAACAAGAATATTTTTATTTTACATTTATTTGTTTATTTCGCACTGTGAGCCACTAAATGTATGGATTTTCCTCATGGGTATAAAGCACTAAAAAAAAACCCCAAAAACAACAACATTAAATTAGTCTACACAGCCCCCTGGTGGTGGCTGCATGCACTGCCGGAAGAGCTTGTTTGCCAATCAGGCTCATGTAGTGCACCAGCAGACAAAACACATGGATTCCCCTCGCATCAAATTCAAGGCACTGTTATTACTGCTATAAACAGAAATTTGAATAATTTAAGTAGAACAATCTCAGGGCCTTTAGTCTTCTGTGATTGCTGAAAATAGATAAATGATTTTGATTGGTTCTTCTTACCAAATGTTGACCAACTGAAGGATGCGGTGACAACTATAAGACGGACAGCAAAACCGATGATGCCTGAGCCCCCCAGAAGAACGATACGGCAAACTATCATGGCCACAGTCAGAGGAAGAATACAGTACCCCAACACACACAGACTCTGGAAAAATGATCTGTACAGACAAAGAGTGAGTAAGACAGAGACATGGACAGAAGGAATGACATTGTTCCAGTAATGTGCTCAAACATTAAAACAGCTAAAATTATTATGCAGTGTAAATTGTCTAGAAGCTGATGAACAGTTAGCAAATTCAGAACACTAATGTTGCTAATAAATGAACAATCAACTGTTACTGTGGAAATGACCAAGAAACTGATTTTAGCTGGAGGGGTTAAAATAAGAGAGCTTACAAGTAAAAGCTACACATAACAGTAGCTGACATTCTGAAATTTATCACAGTTAAAAAAATTATTAACTTCCACACCTTGCGGAAAGTAAGTAGTTTATGTATGTACTGCACACAAAATCCTCATGACAAAGGGCATCTCAGGAATCACACTGCAGTGGTTCAGGCCAAAAAGAGCACACATCACACCTCTCTTCATCAATTTGCACTGGTTGCCAATTGCCCCTCGCATCAAATTCAAGGCACTGTTGTTTGCCTACAGAACAACCACTGACTCTGCATCCCTATACCTAAACTCACTACTTCAGACTTATGTGCCAGAACATGCAATGTAATATATATGTGTGTGTGTGAAGTGAACTGCGCCTTGTGGTGCCATCCCACATACCTCGTTTCCACCAAAAAAGAACTGGTTCGGAACTGGTGCTGGTTCAAAGTTGGTTCAACTTGCGAACCTTCTCAGAACCTGTTTGTTTTTCCATTGACTAGAGAGCCCAGCGAACGACGTTGTTACATCCCTGTGTACGTCGCCATACGTCTTAGCTTTCCCATTCCCGTCGTGTTGTTGTTCACAGTAACCCGCCCCCAGCCCCCGACGTAAGCATGACGTGGTAAAAGAACGGTTCTAGTCCAGCAAAGAGTTGGTGCCGCTTTGGAATGTGCAGCACTTGAATATTGTTGCCCTATTGTTGGTTTGATTGCTTCTATTGCTCTCCTCTTTTGTAAATCGCTTTGGATAAAAGCGTCTGCTAAATGATTAAATGTAAATGTTACATGTACACTACTGTTCAAAAGTTTGGGATCAGTAAGATTTTGTTAATGTTTTTGAAAGAAGTCTCTTATGCTCACCAAGGCTGCATTTATTTGATCAAAAATACAGTAAAAACAGTAATATTTGTGACATATTACTACAAATTTTGTACTAAAGTTTTCTGTTTTAATATATTTTAAAATGTAATTTATTCCTGTGATGGCCAAGCTGAATTTTCAGCAGTCATTACTCCAGTCTTCAGTGTCACATGGTCCTTCAGAAATCATTCTAATATGCTGAAAACGGTTGTGGTGCTTAATAATTTTGTGGAAACCGTGATAGTTTTTCTTAAGAATTCTGAACAGAAAGTTCAAAAGAACACCATTTATATGAATGTTTTTTTTGTAATAATGTAAAAGCCTTTGCTGTCACTTTTGCTGATAGTAAGTGCTATTTAAAATTACTACATTATAAGTAAAATATGATTTATTACAGTATTTAAATGGTAAAATAGTGACATTTCATGAAATGTATTGTTTTTCGAAAACATATGTGAACGGAATTGTGCTGTGAAGTCAAACCTCTCACTTACTCTTTCAAAAAACAGTGGTGATATTTTGCAACCCTCAATGCCCAGCGTTGCAATTTTGGGATGTTTTCCAAATTTTGTCTAAACGAAATGGCTTCCTAAAGCTATATTTAAGGGTGAAAAAATATGAATATCAATGCTTGGGTCTCTTGAGGGCTAAACAAAACAATTGATGTCACTCACACTCTGTTCCCTCATTGGTCAGTGGTATTAAACAATCAATTCTATAAATATGGTATTTATATTTAGTCTTCTTATGAACTGAAACTAGATTGTATGTACAGTATGTATGAGTGTCTGTTTGTGTGTGTATGTATACTGTATATGAAATGTGTATATGTGTTAACTGTGATGATTGAAATGTTGTGGTTGTTGTAATGTATTTCTTTTTTAGAATGGACCCCAGGAAGACTGATTGCACAGACTTTCAGCTAATGGGATCCTAAAAAATAAACAAATAAACAAATTCTCTTGGATCTGGTTGACTAGCTCTCTTTTCTACGCCTAGTGATGAGACAAATTCCCTCTCGTAGGTACAGATGCCAAAGCACAGGCATCAATTTGGTTTGGCCTTAGAGACTCTTTAAAATGCATTTTAAATTACTAACTAAAAAAATGTACAATGAGAAAACTGCACTAAATTCACACTTCTTCCACTCTGAAGATGTGAGGTGCTTTTTTGTGCATGTAAGAAAGCTTCTACCAAGCTAATTAATTACCTAGACTGTAGTGTAATCTGTGCCGCCCGCCACAGTTTCATAATGAACCGAAAATATTTAAAAACTTCTCATAATAACATAAAAGGTCTCTAACGTTGTTTTGTGCCATTGCTTTGGCAAAGTATCTGCCAAATTAACTAAAATCGAAAGCGTGATATGACTATGCCCCCGGACCCGCTTACAGGAAACGAGGTCCATCCACCAGTCTCACAAAATCCAGCGGGAAACACTAAAATTGAAATGAAAATTGACTGTTTACTCACATAGTTCCTCCCAGGAGTTTGGAGTTGAGGGTGATGATTACAGAACCAAACCAGATGATGACAAAGACTTCTGCAAACTGTGGTCTGCCATCCTCCTCACTGTCAGCAGACCCACTCTGCAGCATTCTGAGATAGAAAATATTATTATAAATACAATACATTTGCTGGAGTCATAGTGACAATGGTTCTGACTAGGACTAGCCAACATTACTACTCACAAGGCCAGAGTCACACAGAGGATAAGAGGTCCCCATAAGTCCCCTAAAAAGTACAGAACACATACACTCCTTAAGATCAAGACAGCTAAAGAACATGTAACATTTATAATAATAAGTGACCATAAATGGGGCACATCCTTTATGTAATCTGTGATTGTGTCATCAGAAATGATGGACTCACAGTCTCTGAGTAGTGCAGAACTTTTCTTGGGGTACATAACATGGACAAACTTTTGTCCAATGGCTCTTAGATCCCTCAGCTGAGAACCACAAACAGAGAAAAGAGAGAATAAGAAACGTTGCTTAAACTTAAACATAACTACCGGTACTCTTACATGTGCACTCCAGTGATATTTTAGTATTATTTATATATTATTATAATATAAGTTTTTTTAAAGTAATCTTGTTGTGTGATTCTGTCATTTTTATTTGTTTTTTAAAAATATTTCTATACAGGTTTAATTCATTTTTAGTCATTTTAGTACTTCAACTTAAAGTCCCCCTGTAGTCAATAATTTGATCCCTTAAAACTAAGGAGCTCATTGTTTAAATTAATACATTATTAGCTAACTGTGTGATGAATGTACATTTCTGAAATACATAACTTGGATACAGTCACGTCTGATAACAGATCACTCTAAATTGTAATGTAGACATGCATTTTCTGTAAAGCTGCTTTGGAATAATAATGTATTGTGAAAAGCGCTATACAAATAAATGTGAATTGAATTGAATTAAAACTCATCTTTGGTCACCCAAACTTCACTACACCCTTGCTTCATTAAGTATGCGTGGAAACATGAATATGGAAATAAGCCCCGCCTCCACTCAATCACACAAGCTAAGAATACCTGATTCACTCGGTCCACTTTACTGTAGTAAAAGCTACACAATGACAAGTGGAAATACTGGTTTAATTCAGCCATATATGTTTGAACCAGAAACTGATTTAAAAGAAGTGGAAGAGTGAATTCTATACAAGTCGATGTATCAGAATGGTAATGCGTTTTATGTATCGCTCTTAACAACGTCGGGCACATAACCGTAATTATTATGATTAGCCTTTTGCTTGACTACATTATCAAACAGCTAATAATGTGTTGCTAATGTTACACAAACCATGTTCCCGTTCGCCATCTCAGTCTGCCTTCTAAAAATCAGTATCCTTAGAAACACTTTGAACAACTTAGAACATCAGTGGAGAAAGGCATATAGTTCATCATAACATCATAATATACAACATATTCACAATTTACCCGCTATATTGCTAAATGTACCCGATTTTTCATATCAACCTGCTTCGTACAGCACAGTAATGTTGATATGCTAAAGCACGCCCGCACGTTGACGTGACTGGCTATAACATGCTTGTGACGTTGAGGACTGCGATTTCAAACCACGTTTCTGAGACTGTCTTTGGTTCACTGCAGTTTTAAGGAGAAAACACTCAGCAACGGTGTTGACTTATGAGTTTGCACATGGTTTGTCTTTTCATCTAGGCCTATTTTCAGCTTTAATTTATTTATGACAAATTATATTTCACAGTTTTAATTTTATTAAACAAATAACACTGGTGCAATTAGAATAGTTTTCCTCATTACAATTATCCACACAAAATATTTGAACGTGTGCATTGCCCATCCATGCCAATATATCACTACCCTGTAACAAAAGGTTTCACTTACAATAGTGTCTTTGACAGGCTCATCCAGCGTCGAGAGATCGTTGTCAGCATTCTGCGAGCCCACAGGCACAGATATATCTCCCTCCACTGGGATGTCCTCTGAAATTGAGATGTCAGACAAACCTGCAAACTGAGACATGAAGAATGACCGTTTAAATTATCCATGGCATTTACCCAAAACACAAGTTCATATTTATCTATGCCAGTGATTCTCAAAATGTGGTTCACTGGTGGTCCATGCAGGATCTATAATGGGCTGTGTGTTATTGACTGACTAATAGAGGAAAATAAAACAATTACAATTAATAGAAAGCACTTCTAATTGAATCAACTTATTAATAATTGAGCTAAATATGTGATAAAGTGTTTCTGTTTTCTTCATAATAAGTGACAGTTACTGTAGCAAATGAATAGTCTCAGCTCTCAGTTGATTTCAATTAATCAAGAAGAAAACAATAGTCAGGCAAATGAATGGTAGAAGTAGACTATTTCAAGATATACATTATATAACTTACTGATGATAATTTGTACACTATCTATTTAAAACTTCCTGTCTTGAAAAACGAGGTGACAGGGATGTGTTCTTGACCTCGGGCTCAAGAAGAATTTTTAACTCAGTAAAACCTATTGTAATGCACTGAAACCTCATTTCACGACCCATAAGATCACAGTAAATACATTTACCAAGCAGATATAGACTGTTAAATAACCACTATAGAAATGTAAACAGCTCTGTGTCGAGATCGTTAAATGAGAAATAAGGATCAAATTATGGAAATATATCATTTCTTGATTGGAGTCTAGAACTACAGTCTAAGTTAAAATCCATGCACTTACAAAGCGAATAAATACACATTTAAAATATTTATAGGAGAGTGGCAGACAGAGAGAGAGAGAGACGACAACAGTTTCAGATAGCAGGTGTTGTTCCACTCTCACTGTTTACATAGTTTGTTAACAATGTACGATAAAAGGCGTAATTCTGTTTTCCACAAAATCAGCTAATCTATCAGTATGGTAATTTGGGTGATGTTTTAAAAAATCTTTAAGGTAGTAAATTTGTTCTGTTGTGCTGAGAAACGACCATCTGCTTTTACACGTATTACCCCAGCAGAGCTTTACTGACACATTTACATTACATTACCAAGCAGTACCCGGGATCGGTTTACCATACAGACAAAAGTTAAAACGGTGGAAAAGCTGACAATGTGTTTTAAAGATGTTTTAAAGCATGTTTCGTCTCTTACCAAAGGCTTGCTAGACTCATCTAGTTCCGCCATCTTTACACGGATACGGATACGTCACCGGGAGTGTGACGTCAAAAACGCCAACATGCCACAATGCAGATAAGTGTCTATATGTTTGTTAAGGAAAGGGTACTCTTTCATTTTGTTTTGCATTTTGAAAATGTCATTTTTGGATATTTAAAGTATGATAACAGTGTGAATAAGGAGGCTTTTGTAATTAATTTGATAATTTAAAAGTCAAATTTCACATTCACAGGTGTAAGTTTTCTAACAAAAAGCCCCTTATATCCTTTTCTCAGTATTCCTTAAAGAATTTTAAAATGACATTTTTTAACTATTCAATCTAGTACTAATGGAAAAGCTATTAAGACTGTTCATTTGTGTACTGTCTTCAAAATATTTGATTGATACAAAGGTCTTGTATTTTTGTGAATGTTTTTTTATTAATTATATATATTTTTTCTTTGCTCCCCTGTATTGTTTTGTTGGTTAAAGCATTAATAATAATTATATTTTTTTAAAGATAATAATAATAATACATGTCGTTAATGTCTCTGGTATTATGCCCTATGTTTTAAACTGATCAAAGCTTTGAAATCATATTAACACAATTTGAAAAATCTCTTGTAAATATATGATCAGAAGAACAGTGTCGGTCTCTTTAAGAGTCAGTGTGGGTTTAGAAATACAACGTGCGGGTAGAATGACAACTAGCATGACTTTGAAAATATAAAAATAGGCGGGGCTTTGGCCCGGATGTTTGTCTCTACTTGGACAAGCACGTACGGAAGCGTATTTTTTCATGAAAAAAAAGTTTTTGCTCTGTTTTTCTGAGTTAACGAGTTAATTATCTCAGAATTATGAGATACTTTTTCTTGAAAAAAAAAGTTTTTGCTCTGTTTTTCTGAATCAACGAGTTAATTATCTCAGAATTACAATATATTTTTTCATGAAAAAAAGTTTTTGCTCTTTTTTTTCCTGAAGATACATTTTTTTATGAGATACATTTTTCTTGAAAAACATTTTTCACTGTTTTTATGAATTAATGAGTTACTCATAATTTTGAGAAAATTAAGTCATTAATTCAGAAAAACAGAGCAAAAACATTTTTCCATGAAAAATTATCTCGTAATTCTGAGATAATTAACTCGTTAATTCAGAAAAACAGAGTAGATTTTTTTCCTCAAGTGAATGCAATACGCTTCCGTAAGCACGATGGATCAACATAATATATATTTTTTCTATTTTAATCATTCGATGTATGTATATTTCAATCTATGATTTCAATGCAATGGCTATTAAGTGTCATTTCCCCCCAGATCACTGCTCACGTGCAACCTTAGCGGCATGTCACGTGGTAAATGTAACTTTTTCCAGCGCCGCTCAGTGTAGACCAATAATAGTCGTTTATGATTGCTTGATACCGCGTTCATTAATTCATAATTTAATAGTGATTGTAGAGGCATGTTTCCAATTGTATTGTAAGTACCAATGATTGCAAATAATAGATTTGAATGATTATAATTTTCAGCCTATACATGTCTGCAGCAATACAAAATACATCCTGAGATTTAAATGTAGTTGAATAGAGGATTTCCTTTTGTGGGCCCCCATGCGCCCCCCAGAGGAAGAAAACTGTGTGTCTAGGAAAGTAGTAATAGTTTTAGCTGCTAACTAGTGACATTTGCCGCCCAATGATGTGGGAGTGCTCAGAATGTAGCCCTGCCCGCGTTTGTCAGTACCTCGGCTCCCAAAACAAGGAAAAGTATTGAAACACAAATACTTTATCAGCAGTTTTAAGTTTTAGCCTACTTTGCAACTCAAATTGACTTAGTCTCTTTTTATCAATACCGCGTGCACACGGAGACAGTCACTACCGGAGCGTTGGATTATTGTTTTTATATCTGCATATCATACAATATGTCAAATATGGGGAACTTTATCGAATCCGATTAACGTTACTCGAAATCAACTTGATTAACCCAGCCGAGTGATCAAAAGGCACGTCTGTCGTGGTTTGTGCACTTTATTGACAACAAAAGGCCGGTTATCATCGTTGATCATTTAGAGGTTGAGAATGGGGCATCCTCCACTGGAGTTCAGCGACTGCTACTCCGACAGCCCAGATTTCAGAGAGAGACTGAAATGCTACGAAAACGAGCTGGAAAAATCCAACAAGTTCCTAAAAGATGTCATCAAGGACGGGAACAATGTGATCAACACGATTAAAGGTAAAATGGTCTTTTACAGCAGCGGTGGTGGTGCTCTTCGCTGGGGGGAGGAGGTCTCCGCCTTTGCAAGATGAACGAATACGTACGACACCAGAAGATAATTTAGTTTTACTCGGAGGACAATTTCCTTTCATTCCTAGAAGCCCTACGATTCGTAGGGCTTTTTGAAAAAGCTTTCACTTGTAGGTCACTGGTTGGTTTTTTAAAGGGATTATGAATTGTAGAGGGGAGGGAGTGATCTGGCAGATGGTGCGCACCTCTCAGAGATGCTGCTGGCAAGCTCTTTCAGGAGACCGTTGATTTATTTATAGCACTTATAGAACTTCAATTTTCCAGAGTAGTAAATGGAATTAAACTGGAAAGTGTGAACGTGTCAACAAGATGATTGACTGTGAAGGGAGAGCCAGTAGTCATATGAATTATTACTATCAGTGCTTGCTTACTATTCTGCTGATCTCATAGAAGTCAATTATGAGGCTCTTTACATCCTCGAAATGGAGTAGAGAGAGAGGGTGATGATGCAGGCTGCAAACTATCAGTCTAAGAAGCATTCCTTTTCACGGCCATACACCACAATAGATGCAGCTAATGTCTCTCTTCCTCCTTCCTCTTCTTCTTTTTTTTGTTCGGCTTATCTCTGAAGTGTTATGAAGCAACAAACTACAAATGGAAAGTTTCCAAGATTCCAATCCTGCTCTTCCAATACTGTTCCCCTGAACGAGGCAGTTAAGGATAGAGGAACTATCACCGCAAACAATGCACTTTAGACAGTAGCTTCTGCTTAATGAGGAGAAGCTGCTGAACTCAAGAGCTATAATACAGTCATTATATAGATGTAATAGTAATTATAGCTGTAGATTTCCCAGTGCACAGCTCATATGTCCTCTTTGTCATCAGTGTTCAGGGAAATATCAGGTAAAAGTGTGATTTCCAGGCCCGAATGTCATGGAAATCAATACATAATAATAATAATCTTAACTTTTTTTGGTCAATTAATGCATTCATAACAGTAATACAATCTTTTATTAAAGTTAATAAAAAGTTAAAAAGTGATTACATTTTTAATAATTAATATAATTTAATTATAATAAGTTATGTATGCAGAGATTTAACTGACCAACTTAATTAAATAAATTAATATAATGAAGATATAAAGGCACTAAGTGCAAATAGCAATACCAGATTTTAGATAACCTTGAGCAGTATTTTCTTTGCACCATGTCTAAGTAGTAATTAGATGCTATTTCCACTAAGTGTAAATAGTTGTTAGATGCTATTTATACCAAGTGCATATCGTGGCAGATACTATTTGCACCTCACTGTATTGTAGTAGGCCTATATTTTAAAACGGTATGCAATAACAATATATTCAGTGTATATGATAATATTTATTAAAATCATAAATGGATGCTACCTTATTGGGACATTACTTGTCCCTATCACTAAAGCCCATTACACCTAACCCTAACCCTATCGATCAACTCTTTATCCCCACTATTAAATACCCGTTAGGCACTTTATTTCCACTTTTTGAGTATTTTCTTATTTTAAATAAACGCCTTTCCAAGTTCAAGCTGATATGCGATGGGAAAAGGGAGAAGGAGTTGGGTAAAAGCCGGATTTGAACTCAGGTCGGTCGCCAATGCTCCTGTTATCAGATGGGTGTAATTTTGTCTGGCTCAACCAGACATTGGTGGGCAGACTTATTAGTGTAAATAGCCTTTGCCTACAAGGCGGGCTATTTGCACATAGTGTAAATAGACACTCCAAAATATTAAATGCGTCATGGAATGTTGCATTTAATAAAAGTACAATGAAATGTAAGCATAAGTAAGTGATAAATAAATAATCATGGCAAGCTCTAAAATAATTTAAGTGGCTAGAAATTGCTTTTTAAAATAACATTTTTATTTAAAATCCTTATTCATTAACCTGGAACTACTGGGAAAGTAATGTACATTAATTGGCCAAAAAGAGCAGGAATCCTGTGCCATTGTCAGATGATTTCCTGATTTTGTTTGGCGGTCAGTTTTTCCGTTTGCTTTACACTGCCTAAGTTTGGATAGAAAACTTGACAGTTGGTATCTTGTCAGTAATAATTTGATGATTCAGCTTTAATCTATCTCCTTCTCAGGCTACCTTCCCTAATTTCAAGGGAAGTCATAAATGCACTCGTTTTCTAAAAACGCATGTTTTTATTTTGCCTGAGGGAGTATGCAAGCTTCTAATTTGACTAACCATAAGCCTCATTCTATACCTCAGAGTGCAACACTCCAAAAGCAGAATGCTGAGCCATTAAGGCAGATTTCCTTACGGAACTGTGCAGAGCACGACTGGCTGTAATTTGATGACTGCAGTCTGCTCTCCGATGTCTCCAGTGTCTCAGAAGGAGTCTTCAGTAACTTTTGCTTTGGTAACTAAAGGAACCACTGGAGCCCACAATAAATTTCCACTACCTGAAGTTCTGCAGCTTCTAAAGTCATATGACCTGACTCAGTGGTTTCGATATGCTTACTTCCTGCATTTATGTAGTTTTGCACTTTTTGAGGAATATCGCGGGTGCTTTGTGGATGTGAAACTTGACACAGGAAGTGGAGCATTTTCTTTTCTCCAATGATAAGGAACCTCCTTAAAGTTCTATTGCCCCTGTTATGACTAAACAGAGAATAGCAACAAGGCAGATTTTCAGAAGACTTCAACAAACATTGTTGTAGCTGCTGTGGTTTCAAAAGTATTAATGAACAAATTATAAAATAATCTTTTGCACAACACTTTTTGGCACCCCTCCATTCAAACATCATCTGTTTAGTTTTGCAATCTCAT